ACCTTGGCAAAGAGTGGGTCCTTGCAGATGCCCTGGGGGATCGGGCGATCACGTTTCGAGGGCTTGCACGAAGAGAACGTGAGCACAATCGGGACATGGTCGCTGATGCGCTGTCGGTGAAACTCCTCAGGCTCACCGCATACGTGCATCGACTGATGGAACTGGACCAGCAGCCAGGGAGGGCAAGCCACAAACGCACGATCCACACGGTTAGCCGACTGGGTCCCTTGATGCCAGTTCGTCGGCCGATCGACCTCCATCTCCGTCATGCCTCTCCAGATCTGGCGCCAGAGCGAGTCCCCAGGTCGGCCCTCCCTTCCACGGGTGGCCGCTGAACGCCTCGCAGGTGGCATCGGGCCGGGCTGACCAGTACCTGCCGATGACGACCCAGTACACGTGGATGCCCGCATGGACGCTCCCAACCAATTATCTCCAATGGGGGGGCCGACATCCTCAGGCGGCTCGACACTCTCAGGCGGATCGACTCCGTTCGGAGGCCGCGCGCTGGAGAGTGGCCTCGCGCTGGAGGGCGAAGGTGGGGGGGGGGGGGGGGGGGCACGGTTGTGGAGGTCCTCAGTGAGCGACTCGGCTGCTGAGGTAGCCCAGACACAGCCGTAGAGCAATCAGCGGTAGCATCCGAGATGTTGAAGTCGCCAATCAAGACCTGGGCGAACCGCATCGGATGCCGAAAGACATCATCTTGTTGAGCACGCGCCAGATCACGAAGATGAAGAAGGTCGGCCTCGTCGATGCCGTAGTGGTGCACATTCCAATGGAAGAAAGTGAATCCCGCGATGCGGTGTCGAATTTCCAGGACCAGGACGCGGCCAGGAACTTCGCGCACTCGACGAATAAGAAGGGAGTGCGATAAATGTTCAGGCAGAAGAGTAACCAGCCCACCCCCTATCTCAGCACCAGGGGACTCTGAAACGAATCGCGAGAATGATCGCCCAGACCGCCGCAACACTTCGTCAACGGCAGCTTCGTTCCCACGAACTTCTGGAAGAGCAATAATGGAGGTGTCGGAGCAGAGGGAGTTGAGGATGGAGAGCTTGCGGTCGATGCCCTGGGACAGGTAGTGACAGAGGGAGAAGCAGTTCCAGGACGCAAATCGCACTTCAGCAGCATTCATGACGGTGTTACCCATCCCGCTTGGCGGTGGGACGCAGGAAGAGATTCTTGACCAAAGTGTCGAGCGGGCCCTTCTCCAACCGCATGTCGGCGAGCTTGGCGTTGTTCCAGCGGATCCTCGGCACCTCGACGGGGCCCACGACGATGGATGCCAGGGGCTCCCACTGGTGGCTGACCACGCCCGAGTCGCGGTCCCCAAAGAGGCGGGCGCCGAGGTGCTCAGACAGCGCACGCACAACCCTCTTGACGGCCAGCTCCCCGGTCTGGGCGCGACGATTCTTGTCGAGCCCGATGTAGAGCGGGACCGACCGACCAAGAGGAAGCTCGACGGCAAAGCGGCGCCACGTGCCGCGGTCATCCCGCAGTGCACCGAAGGCCTGGCGAATGCGCGAGTCCTGTGTAGCATCCATGTCGCCTTTGAAGCGGAGGACAAAGCGTCGCGAGATGGCAGAGCCCTCCAGGTCGCACTGGTCGCCGATGGTGTACCCCGCCTCCTGGAGCCACGGGCCGATGGCGGCCTGGGCCGCACCGAATGGGACATCCTCTTTGCAGTTGATCGTGGAGATCGCACGGTCGATCTCGCGGTCCCAGTTGGCCGATCTCTCGACAGGAGGCCGAGGACGCGATCGGGCGAGGTCAAGCTGAGACTCGAGGTGGCTGAGCCGCGCGGACAGGGCCGCGACGCTATCCCCCTGCTCGGTGAGGCGCTCACTGAAGGCCTGGAACCTGCGATCCATCTCCGCCAGGCGAGAGTCGAACGACTGCTGGATGCGCTGCAACACAGGCGAGGTGGCCGCCTCCACGGCGGAGCCCAAGTGCTTCCCCAGGATCATGGGCAATGACTTCGCCATGGCCTCCGTGATCGCAGCGTGGGGTGCAGCCTTAATTTCAGCCGTCCACCTCCCCCGCAGACCAGCAAGCTCCGATTGGACAGCGGCACGGGCAGGTGAGGCAGTCCATGTGTCCACACCAGCATGAGGCCACCCCTCGGCAGGAGGGGTCGCCGCGGCAGGCCCAGAAGGGGACAAGGCTCCAGCTTCACCGTGTCCCCGTCCAGCACGATGATGGAGTGGCGGGGTCGACCAGACCTGGGAGCCCAGGCTGCCAGCGGCGGCGCCACCGAAGTCCCCCACCAGCTCCTGCGAGGGGAACGTGGGAGCTGCCGCCAGCTCCTCCAGGAGTGCCATGGTATCAGGTGCAGAGCCAGCATCGTGTGCACGGGTTTCGGCGCCCGTGGAGTGCTCACCGTAGCTGCTGCGAGACCGCTGGCCAGGCGTCGAATCCTGCCCACGTCGACCACGTCGCGCAGCTCGCGGTGTGTGCAAAGGGGCCGAAGCAACAGACACAGGAGACAACCTGCCAGAGCCATCGTCCGACGGCGAGCGCCCCTGCCTCCGTCTGCCAGGGGTGCCGTCACTCTTGACGCCATTCTTGACTTTCCCATCGTTATTTTCTTTCTTATCCTTCTTATCCTTGTCCTTTTTCTCGATGCGATCTGGCATTCGTGGCGGGTGCCCAACTCCCGCGGTGAAGGCAAACTCTCGAAGCTGCGTCGCCAGGGAGCGGCTCACGCAGCGGTGCGACGAAAGAAGCTGAAGTCTAGCCGCGGACTAGCGGTATCCACTTGATTCCCCTGGGAAACTAAAGCCTTGAGCCAAAATGGCTACGGAGGAGGAGGAGGAGGAGGAGGAGGAGTGGGAGGAGGAGGAGGAGGAGGAGGAGGAGGAGAGGAGACGAGGAGGAGGAGGAGAAGGAGGAGGAATCGGAGGAGAAGGAGGAGGGGGAGGAGAAGAAGGCAGAGGAGGGGGAGGAGGAGGAGTAGGAGGAGGAGGAGTAGGAGGAGGAGGAGGAGGAATCGGAGAAAGAGGAGGACGAGGAGGAATCGGAGGAGAAGGAGGAGGACGAGGAGGAGGAGAAGGATGATGATGATGATGAGGAGGAGGAGGAGGAGGAGGAGGGGGAGGAGGAGGAGGAGGAGTACGGGTCGCCTAAGCCCTTCGGGGGAACCCTCCACCAGAGCCCCCAGAGCCAAAAACTCGACGGAGACCTCCCGCCGTGGCCTCTCCATGGCCCGAGGGAGTCTGGGCCCCAGGCCGCCTCTGCCCCCCCCCCCCCCCCCCTCGGCGCCTCTGATAAGACGAAGCCCAAACGCTAAACAAACACGCTACGTTGCTTTTAGCGTTTTTGTTCAGGGCTCTTTGTTTGGGTTGTTGCTGTTGTTGCTGGTGTTGCTGGTGTTTTTGTTGCTGTTGTTGCTGGTGTTGCTTGTGTTGTTGTTGTTGTTGTTGTTGTTGTTGCTGTTGTTGCTGTTGTTGTTGCTGTTGCTGTTGCTGTTGGTGTTGGTGTTGGTCTTGGTCTTGTTGTTGTTGTTGAACATTATTAATTCTAAAGAATAATTATTGTTGGGACCCCTGGTGCACGGCCCCCCTGCGCCGCCTAGGCCGCAGCTACATTTTCATCATTTTCGTGAGGAAGCCTCAGGTAATACGATGTCATCAAGATCCGGTTGTTTTGTTTTGTTGTAATCCGTTTTCCCTTGCAAAAAACACTATAAAATGACATTTCTTGTTCTAATATAATCAAATTTCAAGAATCCCTTGCAAAAAATAAGGTAAAGTGGACATTCGCGCGCGCAAGACGAAATCCTTCCAAAAGCTTAGTGTTCGGAGCGATTTTAACATAAAAACATCAAAAAACCAATGGTTTTTCAACAAAAAAATGTCAAAATCTCATCCCGCGCGCTCTTGCGGATTCGTAGGAAAACCAACACTTTTTAAACATTTCTGTCAAACGGGCTTTTGCGAGCAACTTTTTCGAACTTCTGCGACAACGGTTGCGCACCTGCCAGGGCCATCATCCCTGTCAAATAATACCATGCGGGACACATTCGTTTTTTCTTCGCGCGCGCACGCCGAAATCTCCAAAAACCATTGGGTTCTGTGGGTGTGTACCCCACGCCAGTGTAGTAGCCACGGTCGTCCGCACGCCACGAAGTGAAGTGTCCCAACGTCATAGGGCGGGAAGCTGGGTTTGGGTGGTCGCGAAGAGTCGTTTGGATATTTGGTAGAGCTTGTAATGCCCCCCCACGAAGTGGGGGTATTGCCTGGTGTCGTATGAAAACCCTGGCACTGGGGAGAACACCACGCGTTCGGGTAAAATGATTGTTGTTGTTGTTGTTGTTGTTTGCAGTGTTCGGCTAAGGACGCTAAGAAGCCAGTCTGAACACGCTAAACAGCGCATCATGTTTTAGCGTTTTATTTTTAAGGGTTGAGGCCAGAAAACTTCCAACACATGATTTCCAAGACGCCGAGCTGAAAACGCCCCCAGAAAACACCCTGGACATATATAAGGCGAACCAAGCGAGGCCCGACCACAAGAAACCTGCCACAAGAAACACAAGCCTGATACCCCAGGACGTCCATAGATGTTGGGTGTGGGGGCATCACGTTTTCCATAGCAAAACGATCGAAACCCAAGAAACCCAGGGTACCTTGGAGGCAAGCAGGGTGTTTCTTGGTATGGGTCTCCACTGTACATCGAGAATCTATGAGATCCAGCGGTTCTGGAAGACGCCTCGGGCGCCGTGATCTTCTCAGAGCGTCCCGCAACGCTCTGAGAGCGTTCCGGAACGCCCTGGAACGGAATCATCCTCGTTATAGCCCCGTCCGACCTGACTTAAGGAGCCCAGGGACACACATAAACAGACACAAATCCCCGGATCCCCTATATCTTCTGATATTTCCTGGGTTCTCGTCTGCCCTCCCACGTCCCATATTCTCCTAAATCTTTTCTCCTGGGGATCGACGATTGATTGTGTCTGCGTGTTCCTTCACCTCCTGACTGACCTGCTCCCCCCCGCACTTGCCCACCGGAGGCACCGCCCACGCCCTTGCTGCTGCGGGCCAGCCGGCCCTGCTCCTGAAGGCAGCCGGCCGGGGCACGCGCGCAGGAGCGACCCCCGGCAGGGGCGGCCTTTGGCGCGCGGCCCTCCAAGCATCTGGCGGCTCGCACAACACTCGAGGCGCGGGTTCCTGCGGAGCTTCGGCGTCTCGGGGCCCGTCCGCAGACGCGACCCGGGAGGAACAGCTGGCCCAGGGGAAAGGGTCGGGGGCTTCCCGGGACCGCGCATGGAAGCAAAATCGAACATCGGATCTCTGGACCTTGGGACCCCCACCACCTCTCCTCGTTGTGGAGAAGTTGCGACGGAGGGCCTGGGGCCAATCTCGTCCCACGGCTTTGGGCCACTTTCGACCTCCAAAGGCCCTCTAAGCAGGGTCCGGGACCGTCAAGCCACGACTGTGGATCTCTGGATGAAAATCTGGTCTCGGGGGGAAAGGTCCAGCTTTCTGGGGGTCCCCGTCGTGAAAAAAATCACCGGCGTGGGAGGTCTGGGTTAGGTAGGGGGACTGCGCAGTGGACAAGCTTATTAGCGCACAGGCCGGGTGCGGGTGGACCCCTGTGGCCCGCACGGTCACTCCAGCGAGGGGGATAATGAGAAGGAGAAGGCCTTCTCAAAGGCGGCGGGACTTTTCAGAAACCCTCGCGCCTTCTGAGATGTTGTTGTGTCTTCGGGGGAGGCTCAGAAAACTTCTCAGAAGGTCTGGAGACTTCCCAGCCTTCTGAGAAGGCCTTCTCCTTCTCATATTCCCGCCTCGCTCGCCGCTGAATGCGAGTGACCTTTCACCGATGAAAGAGGGGGGAGGCGAAGGGGATGGAGGGGAGGGAGGAAGATAGGGAGTGAAGGAGGGAAGAAGGGAGGGGGGAGGGAGCGGGCGGATGCATACTATATAATACTAAGAATCACAAAATCATGACGATAATGTTGGCCAGCGTGGACCAACACACAGTTGTTTATTGTAATCTATGCGGTGCAATCCATGTGGTGCAATCAATGTGGTGCAATACAGGTGTTGCAAACAAGGTGGTGCAACCGATGTGGTGCAAAGCAATGCAAATCAATGCACAGCAGTGTTGAAACGTGCAAACCAGTGCAAGGCCAAGCACTGAAAAGCTATGCGAAACAATACAAAGCAAAGTAACCAAGTGCAACGAACTTAGCAGCAAACCAATGCTGCCCAATGACATGCAACACATTGCATGCAAACCAATGAAAAGACATGCGCGACAATGCAAAGCAATGCAAAACACCGCAAATCAATGCAACGCAATGCCAATCTATGCACTGCAATGCAAAACAGTGAACAGCACTGCAAATCAGTGCACAGTGATGCAAAGCATTGCAAAGCAATGCAACACAATGCGTAGCAATGCGAAGCCATAAAAATCAATGCGAAGCAATCCGCAGCAATGCAAAGCAGTGCCGCGCAACGCAACGCAAAGCCATGCACATCAACGCCAACACAATACGACGCAATGCAACGCAGTGCAAGTTAATTCAAAGACCTGCTAAACAATGCGAAGCATTGCAACGACATGCGACGCAATGCAACGCAATGAAAGGCACTGCAAAACAATGTAATGCAATGCGACGCAATGCAATGCCACGGAACTCAATGAACAGCTATGCAAAGCAATGCACTGCAATGCAAAACAATGCAAGTCAATGAAACGCCAAGCAATGGACAGCAAGGCAAAGCAATGCTACGCAATGCAAGGCAGTGCACAGCAATGCAAATCAATGCACAACAGTGAAAAGCACTGTCAATCAATGCACATCGGTGCGAAGCAATGCAAAGCAATGAACAGTAATGGAAACCGATGCGACGCAATGCATAGCAATGCAAAGCAAATCAACGCATTGTAAACCAATGCAAATCAATGGCACGTCAATGCAAATCAGTGCAACGCAATGCACACACATGCAACGCAACGCAATGCAACGCAAGGCATCACAATCCAAAACACTGCACAACAATGCAAAACAATGCGACGCAACGCAACGCAACGGACAACAATGCAAAACTATGGAAAGCAGTGAAACGCATTGTGCAGCAATACATAACACAGATCAATGTAGAGCTATCCAAAGCAATGCAAATCAATGCGTATCAATGAAAAACAACGCACGGCAAAGCGATGCAAACCAATTATAACAAACGTGGAAGCAACTTATTGCAAACCATGCAGGCCAATGCAATGCAAAACAATGTAAGACAATGCAACGCAACGCACATCAATGTAAATCAGTGCAAGGCAATGCAAGGCAAAGACGCGCAGTGCATAGCCGTGCAACGCAAAGCAAATCAAGCACTGCAACGCAATGCAAGTCAATGACACAACACTGCACAGCACAGCAATGCAATAATAATGAATGTAAACCAATGGGATACATGCAAAACAATGCAACACAATGCAACGCAATGCAACGCTGCGATAGACATTGCATTGCAATGCGACGCGACGCAAGGTAAAGACATTAGTTCTAAAGCAATGCAGCGAAATGCACAGCAAAGCGAAGCAATGCAAAGCAAATCAGAGCCATGCACAGCAATGCAGATCAGTGCAACGCAATACAAAACAACCAATGCAAAGCAATGCACAGCAAGGCCAAGCACTGGAATGCAATGCAAAACAAAGCAACACAAAGCAACCCAACACAGTGCAAAGCACTGCAAAACCATGCAGTGCGATGCGAAGGAGTGCGAAGTGAAGCAAAGAAATGCAACACAATGCTGGGCAACGCGTGATTACAAGCGGTGATGACGGACGTCGGCAACGGGCGGCGATGAGCCGCCCGAACCGCCACTGGGGCCCAGCGGCGACGGCGGTGACGGGACGGGCGGAGACGGGCGGCAATGAGCTGGCTGGACTGGCACTGGAGCTCAGTTACATGAGAAGGCCACTGGGAACGTCCAATTGTTGTGTTTTCTTCCCCCCCCCGCGCAGCTTTGGGAGAAGGAAGAAGACAGCTGAAGGGAGTGAACGTGCGGAGCACGATGCAGGACAAGAGCCTCGATCGCGCCCTGTCGGTGGAAAAAAAACCCAAGGGGTCCTGGTGGAAGCGGGCCCGGGAGGTCTCCCAAAGGGCTGCTGGCTTCCGATCCCGAGGCGAGCGTGGACGTCCCCGCGGTGCCAGAACACGGCCCTTGAGGCCGACAGCGGCAATGCCCTCTTCGGGCGCGCGCCGGGGAAGGCGTTGGACTGGAGGACCCGGAGATTCTGGCGTTGTTTTTTTTCGCGGAGCCTGGCCACACGGACACGCGGTGCACAAGGGGTGTGAGGTCACGAGGGAGGGTGAGCAGGAGGAGGACGAGGAGGAGAATTGTCGATCATGGATCGTGCTTGGGAGGCCTGCCCGTCTCCGCCGAAGGAGGCGGAGGACGAGGACGAGGACGAGGAGGAGGAGGAGGAGGAGGAGGAGGAGGAAGAGGACGTTTCAGAACGAGGACAACGAAGGCGAAGCCGAAACGATTTGTGCTGGCATAGGCGCCGACGTGTGCGCCCGGCACCTGGAACCACCCAGCGGAAGGTGCAGGAACAGAAGCTGGTGCACCCAGCGGCAGGAGGAGCAGCGGCAGCAAGAGGAGTGGGCGGGAAGGCTCGACGCGTGCTGTGCGATCTCAGCTCAAAGGTGTCATCAGCAGTGCTGGGCCGGTTATCCGTCCAGGTGGTGATGACGAGATTCGACGTCGACGTGCATCGCTTCTTCTTCTTCGACGTCGTATTCTTTTTCGCATCGTTGACCCCCGGAGGTTCTGGATCCCTTTCCCGGAACAGGCTTTTCATCCCGAGCCGTTCTTGAACGGCTCCGCCCGGGGCCCTGTGAGCCCTCACAGGCCGAAAATGGCCAAACACCTCGCGTCGTGATTTCTCGAAACGAAAAGACATCTAGTTCTCAAGCCAGAAACCGTGTCCCCGGCGGCGTTTCGGCACGATCCAGGCACCCCCTGAACGCTCTCGGCGAGGCGCAGCTGACGGGAGGCATTCTGAGGCTAGAAAACCTCCACGCACCGACGGAAACTGCCGAACGCCTCGAGCCCCGAGACACGTGTTTTGTCGCAGCGAGAGGAGGGTGAGGGGGATGCATCCTGGATCTCGGACAAGACCTCTATAAGGATGTCTTGCAGGCATCGCTTGTAGCAGGCGACGCCAACCTTTGGGGAGGCTGTGGCGCGGGCTCGGCGCGAGTGCTCGCCTGCTCCTCCTCCTCTTCCTCTTCCTCCTCCTCCTCCTCCTCCTCCTCCTCCTCCTCCTCCTCCTCCTCCTCCTAGCGCCAGCTGGCACGAGCGAGGAGCCCGTGGCCAGCCAGCGCCAGGGGCGCCGCCGGGGCGCCGCCGCCCTCTCGCCCTCCCCCCGTCCCCACCCGCCTCCCAGGCACCCAGCCCGACGCCATGGAGGCCGCTGCCGTGGACCGGTGGCGCCCGCGGCGCCGCCCGCCGCGCCCCGAGGCCGCCCGCAGGGCCCAGTACCTCCAGGCGGAAGCGCGGGTCGCGGAGCACCTGCTGCGCAGCTTCGGGGAGCTGGCGCAGCACCGAGGCAGGCAGCCCACGCGGCTGGCCACGGCCTTGGTAAAGGCGCTGGCCGAGCGCGCGGACCCAGCCGGCGACGGCCCTGGCAAGCGCGAGCCGCCGTCCGAGGCGCACGCGGTGGCGCTGGCCCAAGAAGCGTTGGCGGCCGCCCGCGCGCCAGGACCAGGACACGACTTGCTGGAACGGCTACGGCAGGAGGCCCGTGCCGAGCGGCAGGCGGAGGCAGCACGCGGCGCGGACGGCACGGCGGGGGCTGAGCTCAGGCCCGAGGCGCTGGCCGAGCAGCAGGCCGCGACTGCCGAGGCGCTGGCGGCCGCTCGCTCCGCGGGGCTGGAGCAGCACCTGGAGACCGAGCAACTGGCGGAGGCAGCGCAGGGCGCCGAGGCCGAAGCCTCGCGCCCGACGGAGGCGGAGCACACGGCCGCCGAGGCCGCGCCCCTCGGGAAGGAGGCCGAGCGCCTGGAGGCCGCTCCCGAGGTGGAGCACGACGCGGGCGCGGAGAGGCAGGGCGGGAGGGCGGGCACGGGCGCTGCCGAGCACGACGGCCAGCAGCGCGACCAGAAGCAACACGCCCAGCAGCGCCACGCCACCGAGCACCACCGAGACCAGCACGACAACGAGGACCAGCAGCACCACGCCGCCCAGCACCACCGCGTCGCCCACGGCTGCGCTGGACTGGAGGGGCCAAGTACTGCCACCTTCCTTGGAAGGCATGCCGCGAGGGGTGCTCGGGGCGGCATCCCCGAGGGTGCCTCGCGGGGTGCTGAGGATCTCGGGGGTGGAGCGCGGACACCACAGAGGACTGGCCGTATTGCCGTTCCCCTTGGAAGGCATGTCGTGGCGGATGCCCAGGGTGACCCTCACCCTGGGGGTCAACCGCGGGGTGCTGAGGATCTCGGGTGCGGCCGCGAACACGCTGATGGATCAGCCCGTCAGCAACGCTCCCTGCGCCTCCGCCAGACGCGCAGGGAGAGAGGGCGGTCCCCAGGGACGCGGCCCTCTGAGCGGTGGCCGCGCGACGCGCGGAGCGTCGGGCGCGGCCGCCGCGCGACGGCCAGCGGGGCTGCGGGGGAAAGTCCTCCTCCTCTCCTCCTCCTCCTCCTCCTCCTCCTCCCTCCTCCTCCTCCCTCCCTCCTCCTCCTCCTCCTCCTCCCTCTCGTCCTCCTCCTCCTTTCCCTCCTCCTCCTCCTCCTCCTCCTCCTCTTCTCCTCCTCCTCCTCCTCCTCCTCCTCCTCCTCCTCATCGTCCTCCTCCTCTCCTCCTCCTCCTCCTCCTTTTCCTTTTCCTTCTCCTCTCCTCCTCCTCCTCCTCCTTTTCCTCCTCCTCTCCCCATCCTCCTCCTCAACACCCCCCTCCTCCACCTCCCCCTTCCGCCTCCTCTCTGCCACGGGGCGCGCTTCGGATGGTAACACAGGGTGCTCGTCTCGGGCCCTGCCCAGCCCCTTGCCCCCCTCCCCCGCCTCGGGCTCCGCGCCCCCCTCCGAGCCGCCATCTTGTTGGCTCCTTCCAGTCAGCGCTAGCCGACGCCAGTCGACGTGAAATCGACGCCCATCGACGCTGCACTGGCGCCCTCTCGTCGATTACCAGACGCTGGCGGCGCACGCGAGTGCAGTCCAGAAACGGAATTTCGAGGGCACAGCTCCCCTGGATTGCAAGCGAATTTCCCCCCCTGAGAAAGCAGGACCGGCGCAGATTCGGACAGGGACAAATCGAGATCTCTGATATGCCAGCGGCCTGGACGATGCATCCCGTGGGCGAAAAACATATCCGCATCCACAGCCTCGTGGCCCAGTCCCCTGGGTTGCGACGCCGCGTATCTGGCGTTTTTTCGTGGATGCCCAGCGCAGAACTTGTCCGTGCTACCGCGTGTCCGCTGGATCGCGCCCTGGAGCCCAGATCGCGAGGGCGTGTTCGGCGCACTTGAGCATCGGGCGCCGCGGCCGTTCCAAACGCTCCAGATAGCTGTGGGGATGCTCTGGAGCAGTTTATCCTGGTCACGGGCCCGTCCGACCGCGCCTCTTTCCTAGACCCCCCGCGCCTCTCCCCCCTCTCCTCTTCGGAGGGCCGCTTGGGGGACCATCAAGCCGAATTCGGATGAGGTAGGATCTCGCCAGATCGCGCGGAAGCATGCCAGGCTGGGATGGTTCTCGATGATGGATGCACCACGGCTGATGCTGAATTATTACACCTCCGAAGAATAGCAACCTGCGCCAACGAAAGTGGCCAAGGATGGACCGAGGAGGCAAGGATGCAAAGGCACTCTGCGGAAGGTTGCCCATCCTGACCATGCGGGTTGACTGAATGCCGTTTGCACGTGGCCGATCGGGGAAGCCCTGAACCTCTATGCTGGTGTTAGGGCGGGCATGTCCGCCCACAGGCGGATTTTGGACGGCCAATGACTACTCCGACGGTATGACCCCACACGAGAATCTATTTAGCTTGCCCCTCGCCGTTTTCTTCTGCAATGCACCCTGCTAACAGGGGGCACAAACAGGGGCCCCAGTGCCGAGTCGTAAAGCCTTTCGGCCATGCTTGAACCTTGCGGTCCGCTCGCCGCCAGAGCCTTTCGGCCCCAGCGGCAAATCGCAGAGCTTGCCAGCCATGCTTGAAACTTGCGGCCCGCTCGCCGCCAGAGCCTGTCCGCCACAGCGGCGAATCGCAGAGCCTGCCAGCCGTGCTTGAAACTTGCGGCCCGCTCGCCGCCAGAGCCTGTCGGCCTCAGCGGCGAGTCGCAGAGCCTGTCAGCCATGCTTGAGCCTTGCGGCCCGCTCGCCGCCAGAGCCTTTCGGCCCCGGCGGCGAGTCGTAGAGCCGTTCGGCCCCGCGTGAACCTGGCGTTCCGCTCTCCGCCAGAGCTTTCCGGCCCCGGCGGCGAATCGCAGAGCCTTTCGGTTCCGCGTGAACGTTTCGGTCCGATCGCCGCCAGAGCGTTTCGGCCCTGGCGGCGATTCGTAATGGCCTTCGGCCCTGCACCACTCAATCGCCCATGTGTCCCGCACTACTGCGGAACCGCGGGATGTTTGCCGGCGACCAGCTCGGCATAGAACACTTGGATTGCTGACGCGAAGTGCAAGCCCCATAGGGGGGATGGCCCGCGAGGGTTCTGGCCTGACACTTCCTCGCGTTTCACTCACAGACGAGGCTCCCGCCTCATACTTCCTCCAGGCCTCAGGAGCCTGAAAGTGACGACGCTTACAGGAGGGCGATGACGCGCCTCGGATTCGAACATGAAGTGCAAGCCCCGCGGGGAGGGGGCTCCCGCCTGAGACGTCCTCGCAATTCACTCACAGACGAGGCTCCCGCCTGATACTTTCTCAATATTCAGGCCCCAAGAGCCCCAAAAATGACAACAGTTACAGGAGGCCGATGACCCGCCTCAGATTCGAACTTGAAGTGCGAGCCCCATAAAGAGGGGGCTCCCGCAAGAGACTTCCTCGCAATTCGCTCACAGACGAGGCTCCTGCCCGAGACGTTTCACAGGCGAATGATGATCATGATGATGTGAGTGATGACGATGCTGATGATGATGATGATGATGATGATGATGATGATGATGATGATGATGATGATGAGGATAATGAGGATGATGATGATGAGGCCCGTGGTGATGATGGTGTGTGAGTGATTGGATTGAGTGCGTGATAGTGCGATCGTGTGTGGTGAGTGTGTGGCTGATAATGACGGGGTGAATGATTGAGTGTGAGTGACTGATTGCGTAATAGAGTGATCGTGTGGTGAGTGTGTGAGTCGTGATGACGATGACGATGATGATGACGATGATGACGATGATGATGATGATGATGATGATGATGATGATGATGATGATGATGATGATGATGATGATGATGGTGCGAATGATTGAGTGAGTGAGCGTGCGAAGGGAAACTAAGCCGAAGGTGTTATGACGATGATGGTGCGTGAGTGATTGAGCGAGTGAACGTGCGAAGGCAGAAGAGGCGCGGGGTGTCCAGAGAACACAAGATCCCCACTTAGGATGTGGGGAACATAATCAAAACATGCCCCAACATAATCAAAAATAATGGGAAAATCGTGCCCTGACTATTTTTGACTCTTTTTGGATATTTCTCCTGTAGAAGGACAGGCCCGACTTAATGCTGGCGTTCTGCTTCCGACGCCTCCCTCGGGCCTTCCGCCCGGAAGGCCTCCCCGCCGCCTGCCTCCGCGAGGGCGCCCCGAGGGCGAGACCCTTCCTGGATAGATCGCTCCTTATCGAGGAAGTCGGACCTCGCCCTCGCCCAGGCTGATTGGCAGGCACTCCGAGCAGCGCCGTGCCTGCGGGTGGACCTGTACGGGCGGCCCCCCGCGCCAGGCCGCCGACGGCAAGGACGCGGGAGCTGGGCCCGATCTGGTCTCCGCTCCACGCGCGCCGAGCCCCTCTGCCCCGTGCTCCCCACGCAAGACCCACATCTCCCCAGTCCGGGCTGCGCGCCCTCCTCTGGCCCGGCCCGCCTTGCGGCCGTGCGCAAACAGCGCGGACGTCAGGCTCTTCACCGCGCAGTTGCGCACCTCTGGGGCCGCGGGGAGCATGGCGAAGGAGGCAGGGCTGGGGCGAGGAGTGCGAAGGCAGACTCAGACCTCTGCAAGCAGTGCACGAATCACGACGGGAGGCTTTCCTCAATGTGCGGCCTCTGGGGGCCTGGGCAGGGCCCCGGGGCCGTCAAACAACGACTCGGGATGAACAAGCGGTCCCCGGGAATGGGTCGAGACCTCTCGGAGCCGGCGTTCTGATACAAAAACTACGGCGTCGGAGGTCTGCGGAGTGGATTGGGGTCGACGGGGAAAGCGGGGAAGCAATACACCAGAGAGTGGGTTGGGCCCGAAGGGCTCTACCTCCACACAGCCCGCGCGGCTGGCTGGCTAGGGTGCTCGGCGTCTGAGGGCGACATGCGGGTGCGACGCTGAGGGGCTACACGTGGGCGCGACACGAGGGGGCGACACGTGGCCCGGAAATCCGACGTTGGAAAAGTCGCAGCATCGCAAGAATCACGACCAGGCCCCACGGACCCCGTCTTTTTGCTTCAGTTTTCGAGGCTGAGCGCTCTGTGAGGGTCCCAGGGCCCGACAGTGGAGCGACAACGCCCAGGTCGCGAAAACTGGAGTCGCCAGGATCTCAGGGGGTGGCGACGCCAGTGGGCGGCACAGTGGGGCGGTCCTGAGGGGGCGTCATACGGGGGCAACACCTGCTGGGATGGGCGCGGGGGATGCTCAGGGAATATGGGGTTCGCAGTGGATGCCAAGGTGGGTTATATCTGGCCTAACCTAGCTCATGAGTGGGTTGCTCATGCCCCAAGTTGCTTGGGGTGGACAGCGATCCAGGCTCAGTGGGCGCCGCCCACTTCGCGGATTTGTCTACTACCCCTGAGCCACTTGGGGCATGTGTAGCCCACTCGTCGTAAGCTAGGTTAGGCCAGGTGCAACCCCTTTGGCGTCCACTGGTAACGCCCCTATCCCCTCACCAACCCCCGCGCCCATCCCAGTAAGGGGGCGTCACACGGGGGCGTCACCTTCAGGACCAGGCTTCGGCCGTGCCGCCGCCCCCTCGCCCCCCCCTGCTCTGATCCGCCAGTTCGAGGTGCCACGAGAAGTGGAAGTCTCGCCACAAGAAGCCTCTGACTCGAAGCGAAGCCCCGTTTTGCCTAGAGGCTTCCCAGCTGGGCTCCGTATAGATGGGCTCGGAGGATCGCGCCGCACCGCCGATGCATCGCCGATGCATTGGCGATGCGTTGGCGATGCACGGACGATGTCGGCGATGCATTGGCGCCGTCGGCATGGAGAAAGTCGAGCTCCGCATCGAGACGCATCGCCGATGCAACGGCGATGCGGCGCGCCCCTCCGACCCCATCAACTCGGACCCCATCTGGGAGGCCTAGATTGCCCCAGGTGCGGCTGGACTTTGTTGGAGCAGCCGAGGCATGTCCTGGAAAGCACATGAGCAGCCCCGAATCCCCTCCGAATTCAATTCGAACGTCATCCCAGAATCTTGCCCGTTGGAGGAAAGCGCAGCACCGAACGATCTGACGGTCTAGCGGCTGTCTCCCCGCGGCCCCAACTCTCTCGCCTTCCTTCCCGTTCCTCGCAGCGTTTCCCTGCCAAGAAATCTCAGAAAAGGATGCCTCAGGTCGCGATCCGTCACGGTCAGGCATTCCGGCAAATGATGATGGTGATGCTGCTGCTGATGATGACTATGCTGATGGTGATGCTGCTGATGGTGATGATGATGACCATGATAATGGTGATGCTTATGATGACCATGATAACGGTGATGATGTTTGGTGGTGATGCTTGATGCTGATCATGTTTGGTCATGGTGATGATGACGATGGTGATGTTGCTGCTGCTGGTGATGATGATTGTGTTGGTGATGCTGTTGATGGGGCTGATTATGATGATAGGGTTGCTGCTGATGGTGATGCTGTGAATGGTGACTATGATGATGATGCTGCTACTGGTGATGCTGATGGTGTTGATGAGGTTTGATGGTGACGATTGATCATGGTGATGACGTTTGACGAGGATGGTGCTGGTAATGATGATGACGATGGCGATGTTGCTGCTGCTGATGATGATGCTTAGGTTGATGATGTAGCTGCTGATGGTGAGCTGATGATGATGAGGATAATGCTGCTGATGATGATTATGGTGTTGATGCTGCTGGTGATGCTGATGGTGATTATGCTGCTGCTGATGATGATGGGTAGTGATGCTGCTGCTGATGATGAGGATGATGATGATAGCGCAGCCCCTTCACGCGCCGAGAACCTCCTGTTCAACTCATATGGTGAAAAGAGCACGGATGCGTGGTTTCCGTTTCGATATAACCCGAGCACGGGCTTGGTAGAAGGTCAGAGTACATTCAGGCCCGAACCGTTTCAGGGCACGGAAAGAGTTAAAAGTGCTAAACAGCAAACCGTGAACTAGCATCGTGGGGTACAAGGCAGCAGACGATGTGACAAACTCATGAGAGAGCAGCATGCGATCCCGCGCATTCCAGGCCAAGTAATTGTCAGGGAGGTGATAGAGGACAGACAAGAGAGGCTCCAGGGCACAGGGGCGATCAAACTTGTGTAAGATGTGCCCCCCACCGCAAACTCTACATCCGAACAAGCATGTTTGTATACCTTGTCTATAGCGGGAGCTAGTGGCCCAGGCATTACAGACAGACTTGAGATACGCGGCGCCCACGAATGGAGCAAGCTTGCTCACGGCGAGGTGCAGCCTTGTTACCGCTAGATCAGCCTTGGGAAGCGGAGCGCTAGGCAACGCATGTCGCACACGGGGGAGGGGCTCAACAGCAGGGGGCCTCGGGGCCTCGCGGGATCTCAGAATTTTGTTCACCTTATTATGCAACGTGTTTGTATCAGGGTCCGTTATCATGAGCAGGATAGACGTGAGGATGCGGTAACTGTTGATGAGGGAACAACATCTGCTAGAGTCATATCAGGGTCGATGGCGTAGCACAGCAAGTCGATCCACACCAGCGTCCTCCAGCCGAGCAAACCTTCCTTGGATGACTGGGAACGCTTTGGATTTCATGGCAACAAGGTGCATGCTCGCTTGGATCTCACGCCGAAGGTCCCGAGGGTCGCTCAGGAAGCGCAGTGCGGAGGGGGCCCTCAGAACCTCTCCAGGGATTGCATGCCTCGGGGCCGAGGCGAGGAGTTGCAATGCCTCCCTTTGCTTTCTGTTTCCATGGCTGGCGGCGCCTGGCACAGCTGCCCCACAAAGCTCAGGACGGAGAACGCCAGCGAGTTGTAGGCTATGGTGTTCTGACATGGCCCTAAGCACAGACCTCTGATGTGCCATGCCCTCTTTATGTACTTCGCGCCAGGGGCATCCCGGGAGACCAGCGGACCATTCGGGCCAATGTAAACCCCCAGATAGTCGCCGCAAGTGTTCACCCTGAATTTTTTAGCTCGGATCCCCGACCCACGGAACATATCCCTGCTCTGTTGAGCAGAGTAAGGCACAGCGAATATGAGACTGCACTTGCCAGGGTTCAGGACCAACCATGTGACCAGAGCAGCTCTAGACAGTAGCCGAAGGGCGGCAGGAAGTGAGCGCACAAGGTTGGCCGAGACAATGCCGATGTCATCTGCAAAAGCGAGCGGCCGCGCAAGCGGCGATAGAGCAACAAACAGGCACCTGAAAACCGGATCTGCTGCAGTTGCATACAGTATTCCCGACAGTGGGCATCCCTGCTTTATTTCACGGGTAATGTAGTATCCTCTGAACACTCCTCCTCCTATGCGTATGCCTGTGAACATATGTCATGATAAAGTTGTCGTGCAGCATGTGCCACGTAATCAAGAATCAGCAGGTTTATGAGTACGGTGAAGAACCATGCGTGAGCTAAGCCAGGGAAGGCTGCAGCGAAATCCAGCAGAAACATTCCAGCTCGCTCGGCTCCCCTGAAGACAGTATGCTCCAGGAAGTCCGCTTCTATCTGCATTATGTTGTCGAGCATGCCCCTACCTTTAATGAATCCAATCTGGCTTGTGTGCACTGAATATTGCACTTGTTGGCTAAACGGGATGCCGAGCATGGACGCGACAATATCGTTGTCCGTGTTGGCTAGAAACAGCGGCCTAGTACCTGTAGCTTTCTTCAGAACGTTGAGCTGCTCGGCGTCGTCAACATTCTTGGGCAAGAATACGGCAGTTCCGCGATTGAAGGCAGGAGGAAGAGCAGCATGAGACATGAAAAGGAGATAAGCTTGGTAGAGAATCAGTTTGCACGGCATGCTGCTCTCACCCCAGGCAGAGTATGGTACTCCGTCGGGTCCTGCTGCCGCGTCCTTTTGGTGGTGAATGAACCCTAGCAAGTCGGAGAATGGGACAATCCACCCGACGCCTGGCCGGACAGTCTGGCAATGCTCAAGCAGCGAGTCGGTTACAGCCCGGGGAATGTGTGATACGTCAGCCGCAGTATGAACCTTGCCCCAGTGATCAGCAAGCCGAGCAGCACTATCATCTATGCTGGTGGGCCCGTGCCCGTCGACGTCGAGGATGCCTACCAGAGAGAGGCGTCTGTGCTTCGGGGGCCATGCCTTCAAAAGTTTGCCCAGCTTGACAGCGCGTTCGTCGTGGAATCGAAATTCTGGAGATTGCCCATGTTCACGGAGCTCTAGAACAAGTATACGCTCTTGTAGCATGCGAATGTTCTTGGAAGCGCTCTTGATCAATGATGTGTTTGTGCTGCTCGTCTGTGTACTGCGCTAGCTTATCATATGCCATAACACATTTACGAAACGCAGCACCATGTCCAATCGAGTTAGCACGCATGCATTTCAGACAAACCATGAGCCGATGTGTGTCCGACTGCACCCCGTACCTATAGATGCGCGACTTCAGTTCCACACACGCAATGCGCATGCACTCCTTAATCTCATGAAGAGCCTGTTGTGGGTCGTCGGAGAGTTCGATTTGGGCGACGGCCTCATCAATCATTTCAGCCAGGGATATTGACCTGGGACCGTAGTCCAGGATAGAAGCGAACGCAGACAGGAATGTGATCACTAGGCTCAGCAT